TGGCCCAGTATGGAAAATTGGATTACGCATTACCCACCTAGGGGAAAAAAAATGTTTAACCTTTGTTGAGCCCACTGCTCTTTCTAATCATTCCATTTATATGCTGCATTTGTGTGTGTTCAAAAATTTTGAAAGAAAGAAAGAAAGAAAGAAAGAAAGAAAGAAAGAAAGAAAGAAAGAAAGAAAGAAAGAAAGATGCATGATCCGTAAGTTGTGAAGCACATAGAATTACTCAACAGCTGAGTTGCTCTCATCCATAGCCTACCTATTTGAGACCCATCTGGGTCTCTAAACCACTTCATCCTTCCACTACCACCACCACCACCTCCTCCTCCTTCTGGGAAGGACAGTTCCAGTGCAAGGGGGCTAAGCACAGCCACCCTGGGACAGCCTGTGTGGACTTGGATCCTGGCTTTGCTCCTTATAGCTCTTCATCAGGTAGGTGGCCTTGCTCTGTCTCCCTGTGGCTCTACTTTCCTGTGGAGGAAATGACCCATCCTGTGACTCAATGACCTATGTCTTATAAAATAGGGAGGGTGACAAAGATAGTATCTTACCTGCAAGGGTCCTTGCAAATATTTAATGAGATGGTGCATTGAACGCCCTTGGAAAAGTGCTCGGCACACAGTAGGTGCCTAATAAATGTTAACTGCTATTTTCACTTTTTTGGGAGAGTTACTAAGCCAGGACTGAGTTGATCTCCTAAGAGCCTCCCAAATCTAGGTATCCTAGAAAATAAATTTCTATTCCCCAGGCATCTATATCCTCTAGTCTTTTTAAAGGAGAAAGTACCAGCTCCCAAAAGACTAGGCACTCAGGCTAGTGGCTAAGCTGGCTACAGAGACAGAAGTTACATAATGAGAGGAAGGAAAAGGTGGAATGTTGAGATTACTCTTTGCACAGTTTCTTCTCTCAGTTGCTGTTTAGCTCTCTATCTCTCGGTAAGATTGTAAATGTTTCAGAAAATAGTTTATATTAAATATGTTCCTTCCTAAATCTCATAAACAGTTATTCCTTCCTACATAAACCCTAACCACTTACGCCCACAGTAAGGTTCCAATTAGCCACCCACACATCTGCAGAGGGGAAAAATACATTCTGCACACGTGTACGCACGCCCCACCAGTGCAATCCTCCTCTGTGGCCATGCTCAGGGAAAAGGCATGCATTCAATGTGTGTGCACAGGGTCAGCACATTGCACATCACTAGGTCCCCAAGAAGCCACCAATTAATTCTAGAAAGGTCGTAGTTGCACCCTGATAGCTCCTAAGCCATCCTGTGGTTTTTGCCTCAATGACCAGGCTGCTGGATCCTAAAATACCAGTCAGTGCTGAGGCTGGACTTGTGAGGTTGGACTGGAGTCCAGATGCCAGCCTTCCCCCTACCAAAAAGAACACAGCTGTCCCTAACTGCACAGCTCCACTGCCACCCACAGAGACCAAGAGAGGCAGCTTGGCAGAGGCTAAGCCCCGAGCCAGTCTGCCTGAGTTCAAATCCTCGGCAGCCCTGAGAGCTTGGTCAAGGTCCTCTATATCTTGCAGCCTTTATCTGCTTCCACTTGGAGGGTCAGGTGATGTGGGCCTCCCGGGTCCTGAGGATCAGATGAGCCAACACCAGCAGAGCACTCATGACGACTGGCTAGAAATTGTATTCCTGGTGCAGGACACTTGGTGGACAGAAAGCCACCCCCTCCTTTCACCCCTCCACCCCTCCTCCTCTCCTCCCTGTGAGGATTACCGTAAAATTGGGTGCAGGATTACAGGCTTTGTCCTGCCATCTTCTAAGAGGCAGCAACTGTCTCCTCTTAGGAAAATAAACCTCTTAGTGAGCAGCTGCCAAACCAGGATGTGGCTGTGAAGAAGCAAAGAGTTCTGTCACCGCCACAGGGCAGGGCCTGTCTAGGACAGGGCATGGATGAGGCTGCTGCAGCCCAGGTAGCCACCACATGTGGCCAACGCCCCAGGCTCTTAGTGGCTGATCAGATAGTGTGCCGGCATCTGATGACTATGGCCCCAGACACAAAGCCCAGGCGTTACTTCCCAAGGGCACCATTACTTCTCCCACAAATCCCAGGAGCCTTTGGTAGTTCCTTTTATAATAGTAAAGAGGCCCTAAGGGGTCCAGGGTCCACCACATCAGTAGTCTGTGCACAGCCACGACTGTGGGGATGGCTGCGGATGACGCCCCTGACAATCTTCAGGTCCTCTCAGGCCTGCATAGGCCTCATTCCCTCCTCGGCCCCTCTGCCAACCAGTTCTGCAAGTTCTTAGCCCACCTCGAAGATGGGGTTGGAGTTTTTTGCATAGGATTTTAGGCTTTCTCTTGAACCGGTCTATGCAAACAAAACAGAAATCACCACCAGAACCAAACAAAATAATTCTTCTCCTCCCTTAGGAAAGACAAGGAGAAGTGAAGTCAGAGGAAACATTTACACAACCTTGCTGACCCTCTCCCCTCCCATTCCCAGAGTCACTTGCAGCTAGCTTTTTCATAACTGACCATTAGGTTTTCTTCTATCTGAAACCTAATTACATGAACTATGGGAGCCCCCACAATTATGAAAACCTAAGCCAGCAAAATATATACATCTTTATGGATTTCACTGTATTGTTTTTCCAATTCCTGTTTTATTATTCTATAGTACTGTCTGGTTTTTAAATTAATTTTAGTATCTGAGTTTAATGGGGGATGCAAAAATATTAACTTGTATTAGGAACCCAAATGCATGGACAACACTGTAGTTACCTTTTAAAAAAAATGTGTTAATTTGTCTAATTCGCACAATAAAATTTAAAGGATATCATAAAATCTCATTTTACAGATGAACATACAAAGGCCGGGAAAGGCTCAACAGCTTGCCTTAGGTCACAAAGCTAATGAGTAAAATACTGGGACCCAAACTCAGTTCGTTCTCTCTCTCTCTCTCTCTCTCTCTCTCTCTCTCTCTCTCTCTCTCCTCTCCCTCTCTCCCTCTCTCCCTCTCTCCCTCTCTCCCTCTCTCTCTTTTCCTCCTGGCCCCCTCTGCTTCTCCCCCTTACTCCCTTGCTTTATTTTTACAATGTCACACTAAAGCCGTACTCCTGAAAGTTTCAGTCTCAGAGTAATCAGGCGCCTTCTGGAGGACTCTGAATGGCACAGCCTTTGATCTTGGACTGGTCCCCACCATCCTTGGGCCCTCAACTTACACAGAGCTTAAGGTGGTCTTTAGACACTAAGACTTCATGATTCCAGCCATCAGCACGGAATTTTACACTAGACTTTTTTTTCTCCACTCCTGACTGTAGCTCTACCTCTCTTTAAATCTTCCGACCTGTGACCCTTTTATTCACCCCAATATCTCGGAAGGTTTTCCTGATAACAATGAACTCATCACCTCACAGACCTTGGTGGGGGGTCCTCAGGAATGTTGGAGTGCGTGACAGAGCACAAGCACGCACCTCAAACAGCTGAATTCACGCGAGAAGGAAGAAACAGTTTACAGCTTACAACGGGACTGAGATGGACCCAGCCATGAAACGGAGATCAGACGTCCAGGTCTCAGCACTGACTACCACGTGCGCTTGATCATCGGGCCAGCTCAAATAGCATTCCTTCGGGAACATTCCAGGCTCTGCACCTTTGGGTCCAAGCAGCACCTGCTTTTGTGCTATTGCACACCCCACATAGAATGCGCCACATTAGCGAGTGTGTGGAAGCCTGGAAGGCACCGACCATCTCAGCTTAGTTGTGCTTCTGATCCTGACACCACATTTGGCTCACAAAACTACCCAACACAGCCTGGATGAATGAGCGCGCCCCTGGCCTCGGGCCTCTGGGGCAAGGAGCAGGCACCGAGTACCCCGCCGCGGTCCACCATGCCTCGCTGAGGGCTCTACCCGCCAGAGAGGGCAAACTTCATTCCCAGCCCTGCCAGTGAATTGACTATCTGTCCACAGTGGGGGGCAGGAGAGCAGGGGCTTTTTGGTTCTCAGGACCTTATAAAAATATCTGCTTTGTCCTGCCTGCCAGGACCCATAGTGTGAATCTCTCCCTTTGGCTTCAGGGGCCATGAACTACATGCCACCATGTGACACGCAAGGGGCCAGCTGGTCAGCTGTTGGCTGCGTTTGCCTGGACTGGGTGGCCATGCCGCTTCAGCCCCAGAATGAGGGACCTTCGGGGCGAACATTCCCAGGCAGGAAGGCAGCCTGTGAACGCAGTCTCTGGAAGCTTCTGTGAGGTGACCAGCTGCCCTGCCTCCTTGGGCGACTTGAATGTTCTTTGCCAGTTCCCTCCTATAAGTGCCCAGACTCTACCTACTCCTGCCCCCAGAAATGGACCCCCAGCGTGGAGGCCCTGGCAGGGACCCTTGCAGTGGAATTGGGGGCAGCAGCAGGGGAGGAGAGAAGAGGCTATTAGCAAATCAAAAGGAAAGAAAACAGGAAGGAAAGCAGAGTGGCAAATTAAAGAGCTATGTTTTCTTTTTGAAAATCCAATTATAGGGAAATATGCTTTTAAGTAAAAACAGTCATGCCCTTGTTACAAAGTATTTCAGGGACCCTCAACATAGGCCAAACCTCCTTAATTACATTTTTCCTGGTTACAAATTAGCTAATAGATACATTTTGGTAATTTCCCTTTCACTCCTCCACTTTTCACACCCACACAAACATGCTGGGTTATAACAATGCTCTTATTCTAGCTTTGTCTCAGACACACGCTCTCAAGCACGTTGATTTAGGCTCTCTCTTTAGAATATCTGCAGACCCTCATTGTGAGATGGAACATACCCTCCCCTCTGAACCTCTCTCTCTCTCTCTCCCCCTCTCTCTTTCACACACACACACACACACACACACACACACACACACTCACATGGCCACGCTGTACACACACCAGATCTGCATACAAACACCAACGCTGTGCTCCCGAGCCGGCACTAAGCCAGCCGTCCCTCTGTCCCGATGTCCTGTCTGCCTCTCCAGACAGGTTCACGCAGCGTAGCCCATGTGACACTCACCACCGAAGCCTGTGGGAAACTTCATGAAGTGAGAATAATTTCCATACATGTTTACTCCTCAGTTCATGCCCCTCTCTCATGCGTCTTCTGAATAGTCTGGCCTCTCCCAGCTCCTCGGCACAGCCCAGCTTGCTTCAACTTGGGCTAACAAGAGTGGTCATTGCTTCCTCGCAGCCCCGGGAGCACAGGCTGGGCCAGCCCTCTGGGATTAGTCAGGAATCTGCCGCCAGATCGGGGAGTCCACATAGTGCGTGGAGCCGGCAGTGCGGCAGCAGCTGGTGCCTGTCAGTAATCACGCATAATGCTGCTGCTGCCGCCACCACTACTCTTGCCACCGCCGCCGTCACTGCTGCTTGCTGCTTGAGATCCTGTTGCTACTTTGATTAACTCAGGGCTGGGCTGCTGCGTGCGACTCTTCCAGCTCCCAGCTGGTCCCCAGAGGTCCCTACCGGGGTGGGGTGGCACAATCTTATTATCTAGGAGCCAATCAATGTCTGACCGCCCCAGTAGGTCAGGAGAGGGGGAGGTGGCAGGCAAAGGAAGACTCTTCAGGTGCCTTTCTCTGGACTAGCACACCCCTAAATCGATGGGGTTTTATTAAAATGCATTTTTGCACTCTGGCTCCTCTCTGCCCAATGCACTTGGTGTTTGATCTGTGAAACAGGGTGGGTGGGGTAGGGACCAAGAGAAAACAGAGCCCTTTCGTAAGCACAAAATGAGAAAAGCCTGAGACTTGGTCAACAACTGAAACGAAGCAGCCGTCAGGTTTGGCAAGGCTCATCCTGCCTTGGCGGCCAGGGCATTTGTATTTGTCTGTGTCCTAACAACAGAAACTTGACCACAGCAATTAGGAGTTAGGGTTCAGTCGTGTGGGGACCTACAGGTAGAAAGGAGGAGCTTCCTGGCAGAGGTGATGCTTCACTGGTGGGAGACATACACTGAGACACCACTGTCATCATGCCAGTGTTCAAAGACCAGCACTGGGTCCTCACTGCCATAGACGCCCATGGGTATAGCTAACAGACCAATGAGCCTCAGCCTCTTTGGTATTTGGTCTATAGGACAACTTTCCCAAGGAGGTCCTGCTTAGCCTATCCCATAACACTAACAATGGGGAGCTCAGGACTACCCCACTTCATCTCAAGATATTTCACACCATGAATTGTTGTTTTACCTTAGCTGAAGACTTCTTTTCCCCACAGCTCTGGTCCCAGAATCTGTACTACTCCAAGGCACACAAGAGAAGCCGATGGGATTGCCCATAAATCCCAGGACAAACCTGCTGTGACTGCAGTCATACTCTCTCTGGCATTCCTGCACCTTCCAGTGAGTCTATATATCAAGTCTATCCACAACCCATCCTATTGCGAGTGATGTCCTCCAGTTTACTTAGATACTCTTCTGATGAGGAAAGGGGCCAGCTAGACCTAGATGCCATGTTCCCCATGAGGCCCAGGTCTTTTTCTCAAGGTGCGTGTGTTCAGAAGGCGGTGGGTATGCATCAGCAGCTACCCAGTCTGGTTCATGGGATGAGCTCTGAGGGCTGTATCACTGCTGGTGCAACATAGGAAAGACCTGGCCTGAAAGATCAGCCAACCAGGCTTCCCTACCAGAAGACCAATCTTCAATGCTAAAAGAACCCAGGATAAAAACCAGAGGCAGGGACAGAGTCAGGATGACAAAGGAGGAGTCTAAAATGGGGACCAAAATGAGAGGATGTCAGGAAGGAGGAATAAAGGTCCAGATCGTGGCTACAGGGAACCCTGGGGCTGGTTGCTGGGTCTCCAGCGCTCATATAGAGCTGGGTAGATGTCAGTGAGGCAGAATATTGGGAACCACTTGTCCATTCCTCAGGAAGCCCCGCATTAGCTCATGTAGAACTAACTTGATAAAGTCTCCCTGATTCCTAAGTGGTGTTCTGTCTTAAACATTCTTCATCAATTTCCTGGGTAGTTGATAGGAGGCTTCTGAGCAGTACCTGCATCTATTCCTCTGAAATGAAAACTTCTCAGATTTTTCATCATCCCAGATTTTGGGGATCCTGTTTCTATTGTACAGTATTTTTTTTTTATTCCTACCTTTCTGTTTCACTGACTTTCGAAATATGAGCACCTGCTTTCTGCGTCTTAGCCAACTTATCAATAAAAACGTTGAAAAGAATAAAATAAACAGAGCATCTTCTATCATCTCGTTTGGAAGTGCATTCATTGTTTCCATTGATTCCTTGCTAGTTACACGGCCTTGGAAACACTAGACATACAAAGCACCAACGCAGAAGCCAACCTTGCTGGGCACAGATTCCTGGTCAGTAGCCTGTAGTCTGCCGACATCTGTGAGTAACTGGACCTCCCGTGCCTCGGTTACCTCATAGGATTCCTATGAGTGTTACACTAGTCAACACATGCTAATCACTTACCATATGCCAGGTACACAGTAAACACCCCAGGTGTGTAAGCTAATTTGATAATGGTGATGATGATGATGATGATGATGATGAAACTTTAAAAAGTCATTTTGCCTTGTTTTACTTTTCTCATTTATAAAATAATGGAGCCAGTGCCACAAGAGTTCCAGTATCCCCTTTAATGTTAAAATTGAATGCGAACTATGTCACTACCTAGTCCTTCAATTGCCTATATGCTCCACAGTGGTCTCTAAGCCAGGCCCTACTGAGGTATAAGCTAGTTTTCTGTTGCAGGCCTGTCAGTGGAGGAAGGGACTTCTTTGACTGACTGACTGGCAAACCCATGCCTGCAAGTTTATTTCAAGTATTTGAGTTCTGGAAAATCATCTTTTAGAATGCCCACTCTAACCGCCCCACATCCAGAGTCAATGTCAAGCTGTTCTGTGATCAGCATGTGGTTTTTGCCTTCATTCAGTCACGTACATTGTTAGTTTCTTTTCCTCCCAGAATAAAACTAAATTTCTTAGCCTGTCTTGGAAAGGCCTCAGCATCACCTCTCACTCTACCCTGTGAGCCTCACGTGGAGGAAACGGCTCTGGGGCAGCCCAAGGCCCAGGGTCTGCACAGCTCCATCGCTCTGCAGCACCTACCCTGGGCAAGCTTGCTGACTGTGGGAAACACAGTCCCTCCACCTACCATGCCGAGGCTGCTGGCTTCTGCTTTCTTTTGTAGATTATGCATGATAAGAATTGTGTATGTGTTCAGTTTTACACCCGCCAAATTCTCTACAATTTCTTTGCAAAGTAAATGCAAAGAGCAATGCTTTTGGTTTTCCTTTCCTCCTTTTCTCTGAGAGCTCCTTCTGGTCTTGCCAGTCCACCTGCTGTGGGAGGACTACATATTCATTCCAATTTCTGGTTTGTTATTCCCATTCTTTTACCTTTCTTTATGACCTTCTTACCTATCTTCAAATTCCAGCTCAGTTCCTATCATGACTGTGTTTATCCATCCCTAGATCTCCCCCGAGCCTCAGACTGACCAAACTCCTTGTCCAGTGTGTTCAAGTGATGCTTTCATGTGTGGCCTTGAGCTACCCCTGGTGCTGGAGAGCTGAATGGCTACTGACCTTCCTTTGAATGTGTCTTATCTTCAGAACGTAACACTGAATGCTTTAATGACAATAGTGTATTCTTTGGGTCTTTCCCCACATAAATGCTAATATAAAGTTAACAAATTTTTTAATATATAAAAGGTTTACCGTAGCCAAGTATAGTGGCATCTGATGTAATCCTAGCACTTGGAAGGCTGAAGCAGCAGGATTGCTGTGAATTTGAGGCCAGTCTGAACTGCATAGTGAAACCCTGCCTCAAAAGAAAAACCATGTTTACCATGCTTATATATATAATATACATCAAAGAGCATATCAGCGTACTTTCTTTGTGATACTTTTCATCCCAAAATAAACCAAACTTTCTCCAAAGCTTGCCACAATGGGTGATCAAAAATTACAGTAAATGTTCATATTTTTTTAAAAAAAGATATATTACCATAAAAGACACAGTGCCAAGAATAAGGGAGTATGTTTGAAGTCTCAGGGAATATTTTAAGGTAGATTAATAACAACTTGTCTTTTACTGTAATAAATTTTTTAAAATTTAAATATTCCCCATATCTGTTTTTTAAATTTTTTTATTTTTAAAGAGAATGCAAAATAATGACTAATAAAAATTAGAAATGATATAGAATTTCACTAAACAATACAATATGACTTCAACAGTATATGTTGTACTTCATAGTGTCGTCTTCAAATTAGTTGTTTAGATTATCAGATAAATGCATGAAAAATTGGGGGGAAAGTTATAAAAAATTAAGAAGACAAAAAATAAGCATTAACTACTCCTTTCCACTGAGCAGCAGAAATCATCAGTACAAGTATACAAGCTGTCCTGCATGAATGCATAAAATATCTCTTTCCCCCCTTCCTCCCTCTCCTGTCCTTCTTCTCATCTCAGTAATTTGTTTCCTTTGAACAGATTCATTCCCTTTTCATAGTTAACTATTTACCTTTCAGGTTTTATTTACTTTTTCAGGTTCTTACACTAGTGAGACAATGTGACATTCATACATGCAGGTCTGATTTATTTCACATGAGTATGGTCACTAGTTGCATCCATTTACCGATAAAAGCCTCAAACTTATCCTTTCATAGCTGAGTAATACTCCATTGTGTTAAAGTACCACATCTTCTTTATCCATTCCTCAGTTGATGGGCATTTGGGATGTTTCCAAGATTTAGCTATGACAAATTGTGGTGCTGTAAACATATATTGCTGTGGTATAATGTTTTCAGTTCATTTGAAAAAATACTCAGGAGGGGAGTAGCTAGATTGAATGGGACCTCTAATCCTAGCTTTTTGAGGAGGCTCCACACTGATTCCCATAGTGGTTATACCAATCTGCACTCCCACTAACAGTGGAGGAGGACTTTTTTTTTTTTTTT